CAAAATTTCAAAATAAACGCGTTTTTCATATTTATGTTTTCGGAAACAGTTTTTCAGAATGATAAAAAGTACGTATTTTCAGAAATTTCAAAATAGACACTCAAAACACAAAATACAAAATGAATTCAAAACTCAAAACATAAAACATAAAACTGAAACACAAAGAGTACAGCCCCTAAACGTTCGGGCCTGATTTGTGATTTCGTAAAAGTAAATACCTGACCCATGAATTTTTCCCTTGATTTAAAATGATCAAGAACTTTATCCTTTTAAATGGACATTTTCAGCAAACCATGGCCTAACGAAATCATGGTTTTAAGAGACCTTTTTGGGTTTACATATTGGGTAATGCAGACTTGGGCCAACAAATTTATTTTCTTGGGCCTCATAACTTTTCCATTTAAATCTCTATTTGGGGATACATGGAATTGGACCTCAGATTTATTTTCTTGGGCCATTTTCGTAGGATTATTATTGTTATTGGGCCATTGCAATTATCTTCCCTTCAAAGATTGATGAACTTTGCCATTTCTATTTAAGATGGACTCTTCTCTAGCAGCTCAAGATTCTGCTGCCAACAATCATTTATTTGAAAATGGCATCATAAATTTGATGTCCTAGCCTCGACAACTTGGGAAGATGCTACCCAAAAATAGAAATCCATTCTAGAAAATACAATATTGAATACACATGCAAGAAACAAAGATGCTATAATTCTGAATTTACTTCTCTTTAGTCCAAAATGATTGCAAGGTATTCCCAATTTCTTTGAAATTGAATAGATAGTGGAAAGATTTGGGAATGTATTGATGCTACAAGCTATTTTAATAATTTCCATTCAAAGTGATCACCTAAGGCTACACTCATCAATTTTCAATTTCTATTTACAACTTTATGCTGAATTCCTCTATTATGGGGAGCTAATGTCAAGGCAAGATCTTTGAAGTTGTCAAATTCTTTTACTTACATTCTAGCGGATTCATTGAGTTATTCATTACGATGAATTGTGAAAGATTTAGAAGGTGTTCTATATAATTTCAAATGATATTGCTAATGAACTGATCATATTGTTGGAGGACAATTCCAAATAATGAGGGCAGACTCTCCCACATGGGTCTTCTCCTGTTTGATGACTTCAAAGTTTGATGAATTTAAGCCCATAAGTCCTCACTCATCAAGGCTAGCTTGTGATTTTCTTATTATCGAAGGCAAGCTCCAGCTCGTAGATGTCTCATTATCAAAGACAGTATATCGGAGTCATCGTTCCTTGAATAAATGAAGAGACAGTATCTTGAAAGCTTCATTCCTTAAATAAAGGAAGAGGTAATACCTTGGAGTCATCATTCCATGAATAAAGGAAGATTCGACATATATTGGTTGTTCCTACTTGTTTTTAGATGTCTCGGGTTTCTCGCATCTTTGAAGG